TATAAGTAAACTAAATAATCTATATTTTATCTTTATAATGTCATATGAAAAGATAATGTGAAACTCTTATTGTTGGCAGTAGTTTAAAAAATATGAAATAATGTGCTAAATATAAATTTTTTTACTTGATAAGATATGTTTCTTATAAAAATATGTCAAAAATGTATCAAAGACATATTATAAGGGTAAAACTTTGGAAAAAAGATTTATTTTACCGTAAATTTTATTTCGAAGTAAACATTATTAGCATGTAAAAGTAATATTGAAAAAAAAAAGAAAAGAAAAAGAAAAAAAAATCGATTGTGCCTGTATAGCTTTCAGATCCCAAAGAAAAAGTATAACAATGTTATTTCATAGATAAAAACAAATCCATTTCATAAGAAATAATGTTAATTGAAAATAATAAAAAAAATAATGATCGGTAAAATACGAAAGAATTCGAAAGAATTCGAAAAATCTCGAGAATGAGTTTGTAATTTTTGCTTTCTTTAAGGTGGACATACCCACTTGAAATATTCTGTATAATGGTAACAACGTCAAACTTTATGAAAGATTATATAATTTACTATGAGATAGAAAAAATGTCATTTTATAAAATAATCAAAAAATGCAATTTTACTAACCTACAACTAATACTTGTAATATTTTTTTTTTTACGTGGAAATATCATTCGTATAAACGTTCTGAACAAATTAAATTCAAATATTATGATTAAAATATAACATTACGAGAAAAATATTAATAGAGAATGCATGATAATTTGCGTTACAACATAAAAAAAATTTATGAAAAATTTTGAAAGATCGCTCTTATTAAGTACATAACCTATGCCACTACAAGTTGTGAATTTTAATTGATTTTTTTTCATAAACGAATGAATTAGAAACATTTAATGCATTGACGTATGTACAATAAGTAAAGAAATTTCATTCAAGAAAAAAGTTGTACACCGATGATGTCACGTTCTTACTTTGGTACCCAAAGTATCCCTTTTAATACATAGCGGGTGTATTACTTACGACATTTTTCTCTTATCCATGGTGTTTTGTTAATTTTATAGAAAATACGTCAAAATTGATTAGACTAATTTCGCACGGACTACCGATACATACGATTACGCGAAGATGAATGGTTTCACTACGCACACATTTTTCCAAAGGTTTCTTGCCTATAAAGAAAATACGCGCACTTCTTGGTAATATGGCTTTGGGCAGACATCGAAACCGATTCAATATTTTAGTACCGAAAGTGGACACAAAAGCGTTAGCAAAAGAGCTACCACAACGCATTTACGATCTTGTACGTAAGTATTAGACAAAAAGGCGCTATCTATTCTTGGAAATATATTCGCTACTTTTTGTTACCATGAGAAAGAATATTTATAGTATAAATTGATACTTGTTACCATAGGAAATAATATTTATCACTTGGTCGGTAACTATTATTTTAAGAGAATAAACATTTATCATTTGGTCGGTAACTGTTACCATAAGAAATAATATTTATTACTTAATCGATATAATTATAGATCATGTCGGTAATATGATAAATTTATATTTGATTACCTATAAAAATTCTTTTGCATTCCTACGTGTAAACATCGAAAATCATTCTTATATGGTCAAACAAGATGAAAAATTAATGAAATTATGAATGAAATATTTCTGTAATAATGATAATTAAACTTTTATCGTTTTTATAGTTTACACATTGGATTATAAAGTTGTTTGCTAGGGAAGAATTAAAAGAGAAGTTGCAACGATTAAGGAAAAGTTTTGCTACATTTTATAACGTAAAATGGTTGGATATAATCTTCCTAATAATTTCCTAATGTCGTTTCCATCGATATTGTAGGTAAAATATAAAATAATCTTGATAAATCATATAATCGATAATTAGTCTACTTATTCTATTTAAATTTTTAATGTAATATTTCTTTTCCTTGATTATTACGAAGGATGGTAGATGATACGAGTTATGAGATGACGTCGATGTAACTCATCTATAATGAAATCCGTATAATCTATTCGTGGTTACATCAATAAACGCATATCGAAGCGTGAAATTATGAGAGCATAACGTCGTCTTCTTGATGCTTTAGCACGTTTCTAATTCACGAAAAGATTGATGATCATTTTCTTCGAGGAGATTCTTTTTTTCCTTTCACGCGAATCCCTATACCCTTTGCATTTACTTATTCAAATCTGACGAACTTTTCAACAGGTTAAGAAAATATCGATCGTAATAATATAATGTATATTCATCACTTTCGTACGTCAATCATTTGGGATATCTTTTTTGTTAGACGCGTACGATAGAGTCTGCCAAGTCTCGTATGCTTTTATTTCTTCTACGATCGTCAATCTTTTCCTTCAAACCGTTCTCTCATATACTATATCATATACTAAAAAGATAAGGGATGCACAAATAACCTAAGTCATTTTCTGTTTGGTCTGGATACCGAACATAATTTATATATAAAAGTTTATTTCCAATATTATTATTATTATTATTATTATTATTATTATTATTATTATTATTATTATTATTATTATTATTGTTATTATTATTATTATTAAATAATAAAAGTAATTTCTTTTTTTTTCTTAAATAAATTACAGTAGATCCAATTAATCTCATAAAATCGATAAATAATTATTTTCACGCTTGATAAGACGTTTGATAGATAAGAAAAAAGAGGGAAAGAAAAAAAAAAGGGAAAGGAGAAAGAAATACGTTTTGTATTATTCTGGAAATGTCTGAGAGCAAATTCTTCTAAGAGATACAAAGATTGTTAGTAAGAAACGTAAGCTTTCACCCTTATCGGTCAATCTAACTTAGCACTTTTGTTCTTTTCCAGCATCCTTAATACGGTTACATACTATCAATTCCCTATTTCATAGTACTATATATTCCCTATTCTATCATTTCCCATTTTTAATTTATCTTAGCACGATACAAATCTATAATCGAAAGGAATTTTTTTTATATAATCGCGATTACATACAATCTTTCGTTATAATTTCGTGTTGATATTCATTAAATTCATCTAAGAGAGAGAGAGAGAGAGAGAGAGAGAGAGAGAGAGAGAGAGAGAGAGAGAGAGAGAGAAAGAAAGAAAGAAAAAGATAATGAAAGAAAGAGAGAGAGAGAGAGAGAGAGAGAGAGAGAGAGAGAGAGAGAGAAAGTTAGAGTAGAATTTACTTGAAACTTGTGTGCATAGAAGGATAATTCGATAAGTACCGTCGAATCGTGTTAATAGCTAGGATCTCGATCGTCATTGAATTTGGCGTCGACCGATCGTTCCTTCGCCATCCTATTTATGTTTCTACGGATAATCTTCTTACGAACTATCGAATTGATCATTTACGAAGATCAACACCGATTTGATTTGCTGGCCATCTTGTCGTTTTTTAATCTCTTTAAAAAAAAAAAAAAAAAAAAAAAAAAGAAAAAAAATAAATAAAACAAAAAACCAAAACAAAAACAAAAAAAAAAGAAGAAGAAGAAGAAGAAAAAGATGAAATTATATAAGAGATAATTATAAAAAAATTCTATTTGCTATTACTTTCTTTTCATGTACAATTTATGATAACAACATGGATTTTAATCTGATCACAGACGTACGATTTTACGATTTCTTTCTGTTTATAATAATAATAATAATAATAATAATAATAATAATAATAATAATAATAATAATAATAATAATAATAATAATAATAATAATAATAATAATAATAATAATAATAATAATAATAATAATAATAATAATAATAATAATAATAATAATAACAATAATAATAATAATAATAATAATAATAATAATAATAATAATAATAATAATAATAATAATAATAATAATAATAATAATAATAATAATAATAATAATAATAATAATAATAATAATGATAATAATAACAACAATAGTAATAGTAATAATAATAATAACAGTAATAGTAATAATAATAATAATAATAGTAATAATAATAATAATAATAATAATAATAATAATAATAGTAATAGTAATAATAATAATAATAGTAATAATAATAATAATAATAATAGTAATAGTAATAATAATAATAATAGTAATAGTAATAACAATAATAATAATAATAATAATAGTAATAGTAATAACAATAATAATAATAATAATAATAATAATTGATGAAGGATCGAGAAATTATAATAAATAAGACAATAAAAGAAGAACGGTAGGGAAATAAAAAGATAGAGCCCTTCGTAACGCGCAATTTGAATAGCTCTTGGAGAGTATCGACGGAGTACGACGGAGGTGTCGTTGTCGAGGGTAGAAAGCTAAAGTGAGGGTGGAACTTCGAGATGGAAACGCATGCGCAGGCATATCCCATCTATAAGAGGGTAAGCTTGGCTCGGCTCAACTCCAGTCTAGCCCGCGGTACCGGGTACCGCGAACCTCTTTATCTTTTTCTCATCGTCTTTGTCGTTGTTCTCGTTATTGTTCCTGTTACCATAATTACCATCTTCGTTGTCGTCATCATCATCATCTTCATCATCATCATCTTCATCATCATCATCCTTATCATCTTTACTTCCTAACCAATCTCTCTTATATTCTTTTTATTGTCATCATTCTTTTCCTTTTCTCTCTCTCTCTCTTTCTCTCTTTCTCTTTCTCTCTCTCTCTCTCTCTCTCTCTCTCTCTCTATTTTTTTCTTTTCTATTATTTTTGACAACTTCCTTCGAGAGAATTATTATGATGATTTTTAAGATTATTAATTTGTGAATATAAGAGATAGATATAGATAGATCCCTTTTCTTCTTATTGCTTATTCTTTCTTCGTTTTATTTATCTATTTTTTTTTTTTTTTTTTGGGACACCATGAGAAGGAAGCAGTATACGTGTTGACATCATCAGCATCATTCTCATAATCGTATGCAACCTAGTTGGAATAAACAACGCGAAAGAATACTCATTCATTAAGATTTTATTTTATTTTATTTGTTTATTATTATTATTATTATTTTTTTTTTTATTTTTTTTTTTTTTTGAATTGTTGAGAGTAACAAGAGAAAGTTTTAGAGAGACAGATAGATGATCTTATGATTTTTTATCTCCGTTAATCGGAGAGATAAAAAAAAAAGAAGTTTGGATTCTTTATATTTTCGCAGCAGTTAAACGTCAACAGGCACGTCGTTCATGGATATTTTCCAGCCTTCATTCTTTAGGATTTTACGGGGATCGCAAAGTCTCTAATCTGATTCTTATTGTATATGTAACCCGTTTACTTGATATATCTCTGTTTTTCTATCTCTTTCTTTATTCCTCTTATGATTTTATCTTTGAATATCTATCGTTTGAAAGATTAACTAGAAGATTAATAGATTAGAATTTTCTTTTTTTTTTCTTTCTTCTTTATTTTTCTTTTTTTTTTTTTTTTTTTTAAGCTTTTATCTTTTCTTCATTTCGTTTTATCAACAGATAAATACAAATCATTGTGAAATCGAGAGTGATCTAATCAGATGTATCGTTACATCATATTTTAAAATTAAACGGTAAGTCGACAATATATTGTAGTGTATTTACGTGCCCTTTCTTTCTTTCTTTGTGTATGTGTGTGTGTGTGTGCTTCCTTTTTGTGTGTCCTATTCTTACCGATCGTGTTATAAAAGTACTTCACAGAAGTGCTGCAAAGTGTCGAAGTGAATGTTGTAGTATCGGTAAAACGAACGAATTTACTACCTTGTTAAAACTTTTAATCGAGTATTAACGAGTATTAAAAGGTTGTACAGATCGGGAATTAAACTCGTAATTTTTTTCTTTCGATTATTGTCAAATTTTTGATAATAATATTAATGATAATAATGTATATTTTTTAATGTCTCTTTTAAATATTAGATCAATATTGGATTCGCGTATATATTTATCTGTAGTTAATTTTTTTTTTTTTTTTTTTTTTTTTTTTTTTTTTTTTTTTTTTTTTAAGGAATAATTATTTTCATTGATCGCGTATGTAGGTATATCTCTGTATATATACATTACACATATATACATATATAATCATACATATATTACATATATATACATACATATATAATTGCATTGATTTGAAATATTTTATTCTTATTATTATTATTATTATTTTTATTATTATTATTATTATTATATGTGGTTGATGCACTCACGTTAATTTGGAACGTAATAAAAGGCCAGCGATACTCTGGCTTTCGATTTGAATCATTGGATGAAAAACGATTGGCAAGTAAGGGATGGTTCAATTTTCGTAGAGAGAAAACGAGAGAAAGAGAGAGAGAGAGAGAGAGAGAGAAAGAGAGAAAGTAAATATAAAAAAATTATTGGAAAGATGGGATACGCTGGTGTCTCTGGCAGGGAAAAAGAGAATAATGGAAGTGGAATATTTTAATTAATATAATTCGTACGCGAGTATGTGCTTTTGTCGTTTCGCTTTGATATATTATAATATACAAATGTTAGTATGCAAACAATGTAAACTCATTGTCGTTTATTAAAGAGAGAAAGAGAGACAGAGATCTACTATTGCATTGTGTTTGAAAGATTAAGAAATTCTACGAGAATTATTCCCTAAGTTGATATGGGAAGTTAGTGATACATTGATGGTCTTGTTATTTCAAAAGGGAGTTTAGACAAGAAAGAGAGAGAAGCAGAAAAACAAAGAGAAAATTGTATGAATGAAATTAATTGTTTTTTTTTTTTTCTTTTTTCTTAAATTACTTAAAATTTGTACTCTAATAAAGATAATTTTTCTTTTCGATATAATTGTTTTTTTTTGTTTTGTTTTAATCAATATCTTTCTTTTTTTTTTTTTTTTTTTTTGATAAGATGATTAGCTGAGAATTCATATAAATTTTATTATTCTATATATATATATATATATCTTTTATTTTTATTATTTTTGTTTATTAATATTTTTTTTTTAAATAAGTATCTATAGATCTCTATTAAATATTAGCTACGTCTGTATTTTACAAATTATAATAAGAATAATAAAAAAGAATTTTAAAATAAATAACATTAAAATAAATATTTTAATTCAATCGATAGATACGATTAATAAGTTTGTTGTATATTTGAATCATTGCAATCGCAATATAATTTTAAATGAATAATAATGTTTTTTTTTTTTAATAAAATATGTAATATTTATTTTTTTAAATACATGGTAATTTCGAATCGAGGTAATGATCGAGAAAGAGGAACTATCGAACGTACCGTTCGATGTCGAAAAGTGGCCTGAATTTGAATGATTCTCCAGGGAGCGATGCCATCGAGGTTAATCGACTTACTAGGTCCAAAGTGTATTTCCGAAATTGTTTTTGAATGATCAAAGGTGTCTCTATTCTATCTAACATATATGTGTGTGTGTCTGTGTGTGTGTCTGTGTGTGTACGTGTGTGTATGTATGTAGTATATATATTGTTTATTTTTTTATTTAATTTATATTATTAATTATTAGAAAATTAATTTTACAATAATTATCTTTACAATAATTATTTCACAATTATTGTCATATATGATAAAGTTTGTTCCTTTTTATGATACAATTATTTATTACAAAATTAAATTTTTATTACGATACAATAATAATTGACACATTATGTAATTATTATTATTTAACAATTTTTTTTTGACGTCTAAGAAAAGTAAGGAAAGAGAGTATGTGATTTAAACAAAAAAAAAATAAAAAAATATGTACTTGAGTTAACATTTTTCTTTGAGATAATCTAACAAATACATACACTTCCCGTAAGTGGAAACGTTTGTTAGATAAAATATTTTATTTTGTCTTGTACAAGATCGATCATCCTTTTTGCTCGTATTCGCGGACGAGAATCAGGATGAATCTCTCACGAGAAGTTTTGCCCGGGCCATTAATTTTCAGAGGACGCACGCGTTGAACCGTACTTTTTCTCTTTATACATTTTCCCTGAAGCGTTGCTCCAAAAGAGAAAGAGAAAAAGAAAAGAAATAGAAATATACATCGAACTATTGGCTGGATATTTGTAACTCGTCTGGAATTAAATGACGTGAAAATTATTCGATGATAATATGAAAACAAAAAAAGCATTTGTATTATCTTCCTTCTTTTCTAATAAATAAATAAATACATAAATATTTATTTATCATGAAAATAATTGTAATTTCAATTTTAATATTTAAATATAGGTATTAGTCTATTTTTTAAAATTTAAATATTTATTATTTATCTATTATTAATCTAATTTTAATGTATTTAGTTTGTAATATCTAGAAAAAAAATATATATATATATATAAACGTCATCTTTTAATTTGTTAAATATGAAAATCTAATTAAAATATATTTCTCATAATAATTTGTAGATTTAATATATATATATATATCTATATATATTATCTAGATATTCTTAGAATAGTCTGATGAATGACAGATTTAATTCCCTTGTGAGTCAAGTATTTGTTGCTGGACATTCCTTCGTAAAGGGACTTACTTTTGTGTGGCTAGTAGCCAAACGATTTCAATAGATCTCTCTAGAGAATAACTGAACGGTAGAGAATGCAGATCTACTGGGTGGACTAAAAGTTTCTAGATTATTTCAACAATTTTTTATAGCTCAATCTTATTTTCAGATTGTAAGATCAAAAAAATAAGAATTTAAAAAGTCTTGAAAAAGAGTAATTGATTTTTTAAGTTATCTAGAAACTAATCTAGAAACTTTTGATTTACACTGTAGTATATTTAAATATTCTAAAGAATTTTAAATTCATTCATAGGATACATGATCTGATTTGATCTATATCGAATACGATTGATTCTCTTTTTCTCTTTATCTCTCTTTTTTTTTTCGATTTACTTTCAAAAGCTTCGAGAAAGAGAGAGAGAGAGAGAGAGAGGGAGAAAGAAAGAGAGAGAAAGAGGAAGAGGAAGAAAAAGAGTTGAACTTTCTTATCTCGATAGAACGATTTCACGTTTTCCACAAGTTTAGAAGGAAAACTTCATTTCAGACTAAAAGTTTTTTAGGCTAACTACAAATTGACAACTTTTGGGAAATCGCAAAGTTAAGGTGGAAATAATAAACTTAAAATCTTAGCTAAAATCAAATAGTTTTTGGATAATCGATTTCTCTTCTTTTCTTTTTTTTTTTTCTTTTTTTCTTTTTTCTTTACAGTTTCATTGGGTAATTACTATATGTTCTTTTTTTGAACTTTAAATAAGTATAAGTTATACTCGATTAAAAAATATAAAAAAGAAAAAGAAAATTTTTTTTTGCATATAAAGTAGTAATTAATTTTATGATAATAAAATAAAATAAATGTTATAAAATATAAACGTATAAATAAAGATGTGAAAAATTATTTAGATTTCGAATTATCTTAGAATTTAGATTTGATACAAATTACAAATGGTTAAATTTAAAATAAATACAATATTATAATATAGAGATTTAATATCTTTTTATTATATTTTCTAAAATACTCTCTTTGACTTTATATGTGATTTTTAACATGAGGTAAACGAAGCCCCTGTCGGAGAATTCATCGGAGATCTTCTACGTAGAAATGGTTGGGAGTCTTTTCGATAGGTAAAATTTCAATAAGCGACATCCAGACGAATCCCAGGCTCGTTCCAATTTCGTCGAGTACGAATTCGAATCCCTCGTAGGATTTTACTATGAACGAATAACGCTTTCGAGAATCGATTTGGATTGGAATCTTCGATGATGTTCCTCTCGTATTTTTACTCCTATACACACTTTCATACATACACACACATAGACACACACATACAGAGTGGGCCAAAAGTTTTTAAATAGGCAAATCAATTATTCTAATGGGAAAATTAATTACATTGTCTCGATTTTAAAACAATAATTTATTCGACTTAAAAAAAAAAAAAAAGAAAAAAAAAAGAATTGAAAAATTATCTAGTAACTTTTCATACATCTAGAAAAAGAAACTAGGAAAATCGCATAAGATCTTTTGACCCATCTTGCATATATTACTCTCTTCTTTTTATTTTCTCTTTTTCACTTAAAAAATTTTATTTTTATTTTTATATTTCGTAAATAAGAAAAATTTTTCGGCTACAGTCAAACTGAAAAAGACAAAAGGAGAAGATAAGGGAGAAGAAGATGTGAATTTAGAAGAAAGATAAAAGACAGAAGAGAAATCACATTTGTTCTCACATTTAGGATGTCAATACGACAGAACTTTTTTCGTTCGACTCTTTTGTCCTTATCAAATGGTTCCTTTCTTCCTTTCGTGATCGTTCATCGTTATTCTTACCTTTACTTTAGCTTATCCTTACCTTTACCTTCTTGGTTAAACTCCGGTTGGAACATTTCAAACTGGTCGTCTCGACATTGGATTGACATGGGAAGGAAAGAAAAAAAAAAAAAAAAAAAAAAAAAGAAAGAAAAAAGAAAAAAAAGAAGAAAAGAGAAAATAAAAATCTAATCGAATAATCTCTTTTATTCAATATATTTTCAATTTGCGACGTATTGTGTTTTATTTTATTAAGAAATTCTAAAATAAAG